GCGGTGTTACTGGCATATTTCGAACATAAAATTAATAAAATTAAACCTTCTACATTATGATCAGTATATTCCATGTTAAAAAGTACATTGAATGCCAAAAAAATGTAAATATCAGAAAATTTCCAAAACCAATACCATATTTGAAAAGCAAATCAGCTGGATACCGTCCGAAAAAGTCCAGAAATCTGACGAAAGAAAAAATTGAGAGATTTTTACAAGAAGCACATGATAATAGATTTCTGCTAGAAAAGGTAATTCAAGTTAATATAAATCGATCGATTTAACTAATTTTGGACTACTTTTCAGACCATTTTAATAATTGGTGTTTGTGGACCTTTGAGAAGAGATGAACTACTAAAGATAACGATCGAAGATATAGAAGACAAAGATTCAGTTGATTATAAGAATTCCCGAACTCATACTCCGAGATGTTTTGTGATTTCAAGTCCAGACCAAATGAAGATATACCGCAAATACTATGCAGTTACTACGAGTCGAAGATTTTTTATGAAGTATGTCAGGGTTGGCGTCAACAAAATAAGGAATGTGCCAAAAGAAATAGCAATTTATCTCAATTTGCCTCATCCGGAAACTTATACAGGGCACTGCTTTAGATGTTCTTCTGCCACTTTGTTAGCCGACGCAGGGGCCGATATTACCACCATTAAACGACATGGGGGGGTGGGGTGGCGTTCTAGTACGGTAGCGGAGTATATAGAAAATTCTATATTAAATAAAAGTTCAATCGCAAATAAATTGTTACCATATTCAACAGAGCCTACGGAACTTGTCAAGTTGCGATAACTGACAGCACTGGAATAAATTTAACTCACTGTAATATCGGCACTTTCAATTTACATGTAGTGCAAAATAAATTGTAATAAAATCTTAAATAAGTTTCGAAAAAATTACGAATTATTTTGACATTTGTGTTCTAGAACGAAAAAGATTTGGCGTTCTATAACATAAAGGTATTTTGCAGGTAGGTGACAAAAAAGACTTACTTTTTCAACTGAAAAGGACCCCGCCATAATCTTATGGAAAATGGCTTTCAGCGAAATCGTCTCAATTTTTGATATGAGATAGGTCTTATCAATCTGACCAAAATTCCCAATTGGCACGATTCCCGGTAATGCCTCCTTTTACTACCAGAGGGCGCCTAACCGTGCTAGATCGATCCATAATATTAGAAATAAATTCCAGATACAAAAACGGTCTGAATTATTAATATGCGAGCGTCTTCATTATACTGATTATTTGTAGTGCATACTGTTTCAGTGTATTATTATAATAATAATAACAAAAATAACAACCATAAGAATAATAATATCTAATAATAAATATCCTATTTTTATTTTGGTGCATGTTTCTAAAGCAAAATCTCCATTTTATATTTTTACATACCTCTCATGTCATATACTTTTGATATTTTGATCACGAAAAGGATGGTACATCATGTCACCAATAGGTAGCGCATGGCTAACCACATAAGAATTGTAACTCAAAAAATATAAAGGTGAGATCCAATGCTGTTGGGAATATTATTTAACTAGGATGTCAAAAAATATTTTGGAAAAATCTTGATTCTCATTTATCGGTAAGAACTATGGCTGAAAGCCACTTTCCATAAGATTATGGCGGGGTTCTTTAACGAAAAATCGACTTTTGATGACAGTTTTCGAAAAATATGATTTGTTGTGCTTTTAATTTTCTATTTGAGTCGAAAAGTATATGTGCACAGGGTGTCCGGAAACATTGTGCCATACTTCAAATTGTAGACAATAAACCGATTTAGATCAAGTTACCTTTTACTTCCTAAAAAAGTCAAGGACCTCCAAAAAAATGTATTTCGCCTAAGTGAAAGAAACAAATTCACTGTTCCAAACAAAATTACTGGTCACGCGGCATGTAATCAGTTATGAAGACTCCGTATTTCTTACTAAGTGAAAGGTCAAGGGATAGAAAAGATTGTTATTGAAGGAAAATCCGTTCTATGTTTTTGTCTATAACGGTTTCTGAGTTAGTAAACATATTAGTTTAATTTAATGTGATATGATAACACGGGTTATCGCGTACAAGAAGAAAAATGATTGCGCGTCTTTATGTTTATGATAAATAAAATACTACTTGCTCTTTAAAAATTCAACACTCGAGGTAGTACCTGTCAACCAAAATTATATCATTTTATTAAAATTTATAACAAATAAAACTAACTGCACAGTAAAGTCAAATGCTTTTATTAGAAATACGTAACAAGTCGAATTGGCGTTGAAATTTTTGTTTAGGAACTATTCGTTCAGAGTCAATAACCCAAGTCTCATAGGTCTGTATCAATCACCCTCAGAGATATTTCAGAAAATGTGAAATATTTTTCTAATTTCAACACTGTACAGGCTGTTCTAAAGTGACGACCCATTAGAATATTTCAGAGACTACTTCGATTTCAATTAGACTTCGGGGTTTTCGGGAGCGCAGTTATACCGGAAGTCGCCATCTACTTGCTTATTTTAAATGGAACACGCTGTATATTTGTGCATATTTGGATTTTATGCGTAATTGTAGGGGGACTTTTATCTGTATCTATCTCTGATTTGAGATACATATTTCAGTTCTTTCAAAAAAAGTTGCTTTTCGATAGCCTAATTCAAAATTGCCAATTTTTTACATCGTGCAAGTAAAACGAATAAAAAACAGTAAGGCAGTTCAGACGATTGATTCAATAAATCCTTTATTATATTAATCTAAAACGAAACAAATTTATGAATGCATAAAACGCGGCAGCCTACCTGAAGTCCTGAAGATAAACCTTAACCTCAAACATTCTACGTTGATTGAAATATTTCAGTCAACGTATTCAATTTCTGTTGGTTGAAACATTGGAAACACAGATTCGATCTGTGGTTGCAGATTTCTGTTTAACAATTTCTATAAAGGACAATGTTTTGCTGCACCAAAAAAAAAACAGATACATAAAATAGATTGTTTAATAGAATTATGTATTATTCTTATACAAATATATTAGAATCAATACTTTGTTGATTATTAACTAGCAATTTAGAAAGCATGTAAGGAAAAAAAAAGAAAATTTTGGAATTAATTTTTATTATAGTCTGTTTAGAAATGAAAGAGAGTAATAAAAGCTCATTATGTATGCAAATCGTAAATAAATGTAGTACTGGTGCTTATATTCAATATTTTTATATTATGTATTTTCGGTATAGATGAGGTGTACTTTTAAAAAAACTTTGTGTGATCGGACTGTACTAAATTGTAGCAGGTAGCTAAAATTTAATCCCCGACAATCCGTCTTTGTCTATGCCGCTTCAATTTCTCGGTCCATTTCTCTTATAAGTAAACAATATAAAAACAGCATTTCAAAACATGAGGCTACTTTAAGCATCATAACCGGGTTAAGAGGGTTTTTAGTAATTCAAATAAAATTATTCAATATTATTATCAAAATATTTATTTAAATTTAATGAATAGACTTTTATTCCACACAAAAATATATGTATTTTGAAAATTCAAATTATGGTGAGTAAATGTAGTGTTGTATAAATGTACAATAAAGAAAATAAAAAAGTAGGTATATTAAAATTCATCCTCTGAATATTCTGATGAATTATCTTCGTCTCCTAGATTGATAACGATAGGTTCCACAGTAACGTCAATTAAATTATCGAGTTCCCACATTTTCTCCTCTTCTTTTTGTACATGATGTATACATCTTTGCCAGTTATCTGCAGTTACTCGTTCCAAGGAATTTTTTAACAAAATTTTCACGTCACTTAATTTAAACGTCGTATTATTTCGCGCTACATCTCCTTTTACCTGCGCCCAGACTAATTCGATTGGGTTAAGTTCACAGTGATAAGGTGGTAACCGTAGTACCGTTATTTGGCGATTTGTTGCCATTTCATCGATAACATATTTTTTCTGATCTTTATTAAGATTGACAAGTGTCAAAAGTTCCTTTTTCACCATATTTGTTTCAAAAGAAATGTTTTTTCCGGATAACCATTGAATTATATCGGCTTTCCTCCAAGCAGTCGTAGGCGTCCGCTCGGTCTGCCGTGAATGGTAACTGGCATTATCCATGACAATTACAGACCCCGGAGGAATAAGATCCAACATCTGTGTAAAATACTCTTCGAAAACATCTGCGTTCATGTCTTCGTGATAGTCACCTGTATTTTTAGATTCAAATAAAAGTAAACCGCCATCTACAAAACCACTGGCACTACCTATATGTGTCACTATTAATCTTCGCCCTTTACCTGAAGGTGCCTTGAACCCTGTTGAAAGTCCATCCAAAAATGCTTGTCGAAAACTTTTTACATTTTTATCTTGCCATACTTTTGTTACAGTATATCCCTCGTTGACCCAAGTTTCGTCTAGATAATAAATATTCCTCCCTTCGTCACGGAATTTTCTAATTGATCTTAAGTAGGATCTTCGCCAACAAATAATTTCATCTTTATCGATAAGAACTGACTTCCTGTTCTGCTTTTCCCAGCAAAAATTCAACTCTCGTAAGACGGCCCATAATTTGCTTCTACTGATTTTTGGCAAATCGTTGTCCTCTGAAAGTTCACTTAAAATTTTGTTTAGCGTTGGTATTTCTTTTTTAAAATAAAATGAGTGTACTTTTCTGCGAATGACATTTTTGAAGAAATCATCTATAACGACTTTTGACCTCCCTGTAGATGATTTTGGGGGATTTACAGTATCTTGTTCATTTTTTGTTTCCTTTAAAAGTCTGTAGATAGTCGATTTTCCAATCCCTGTCATTTTTGTTAGCATTAGTGTTACCCGATAATTACCTGAAACGAAATATTACCACGCCCATGGCCGGTTCTTATGTCGGGGTTTTAGTACTCTCTTTCATTTCCAAACAGAGTATAAATAATTATTTTTAGGTGATTTTTTTTGTATATATTTTAGTTGAATGAAAATTTGCTTTCACTACTTATTAATTTCATTGAAACTTTCTATTATAGAAAAAACACGATACGATGCGGTGACCCATTAGAAGTATGTTGCCAAATACCAGAGGGAGGTTCAGGCCCTGATGTCAACCCTAACGGCAGCTCATCCACAACTACCGCTCGTCCTTCAAGCACCGCTTCTACCACAAGACCTTCATTTGCTTCAAACCGTTGCGGCATTAGAAACGAGAATGGAATCGACTTTACAATCAAAGGGAATAACAACACCCTGGCCGAGTTTGGAGAATTCCCCTGGATGGTGGCTCTTATAAAGAAGAACCCCGATCCCTCCGACGATGAAGGATTTTCCTTCTGCGGAGGTTCGCTGATAAGTCCCAATGCGGTCCTTACCGCAGGACACTGCGTCTTCAAATACAAGTAAGTAACGATCAGTGTTACCAGATGTCTATGTCCCCGTTTTATTGAAAAGTCCCTAGTCCTAGAAGTTTCCCATGATCTGGCAACGCTAAAATGTTTATAATACAGGGTGTAACTAAATAAGTGTAAAACATTTAAGGGGATGATTCCTCATCGAAAACAAGATAGGATCTTTCATATAAAGAAACTTCATTGGAGCATCCCTTGTTAAGATACAGCCCCTTAAAGGGGGTACATAAAATTTGTTTAACAATTTTTTTCACAAGCACTAAACAAGTTACAATATTGAAATTAACCTGACATTTTCTACTACCAAAAAGACACTTAGCCAGTAATTTATTTGGTTTACCCCATGGTTGTAAGGGGTGGAAAACGCAACCCCTAAAATTTATTTCCAACGTAATTTTTTGTCTTATTATTTTTTTACCATTTAAAAATTTATTTCCGATAGCCTGTTTCATTCTAAAAAAAAATGTCTCTTGAATTTTTTGCCCAAATTAAACCAGTTCGCAGCAAAAAATTATTTTACGAACAAGATACATATCGCCATAAAACGAAAATACGAAACTAATTTATCTAGTAGGCCGCCATTAGCGATACTGACAATTAAATTGGAATCAAGCTGTCAGTTTGTAAATTTTTGAAATTGAAGTAATACTAATTGTGTATTGTTCTGTTCTTAATTTGTTACTTTAATAATTCACTTGTTATTAAAATGGCATACACAAATGAGGAAATGGCTGATATGCATTACGTTTACGGTCTGTCGCAGGGGAATGGGTTAGAAGCTTCTACAAGATATGCTGAAATGTATCCTCAACGGCAGCATCCTTCACATAGAATATTTGTCTGACTTCATCAACGATTACGTGAATATGGTTCATTCAACAAAAGAACGCAGGATTGTGGTCGCCATCGAGAAGTAAGAACACCACAGCTTGAGGCAGCAGTACTTAATTTGATAGAAGAACAACCTACTACCAGTACTAGAAAGATTGCTTTCCAGCTAAATGTTGATCATATGACGGTATTTCGAATTTTAAAGGAACATCTCTTATACCCTTACCATCTGCAACGAGTACAGGCACTGTTACCGCGAGACTTTCCGAACCGTCTTGAATTTTGCAATTGGATGCTGGAAATGATTAGAAGAAATCGTGACTTTCTGAAGACGATCGAATTCACAGACGAATGTAGTTTTTCTCGGGACAAGATTATTAATTTTCATAATTACCACATATGGGCTGATGAAAACCCTCACGCTATTGTCGAAACTAACCATCAAGAACAGTTTTCTCTTAACGTGTGGGTCGGAGTTATTGGGGATTATTTAATTGGGCCTCATTTTCTACCTCCTCGATTAAATGGTGAGGCATACGTTCAATTTTTAAGAGAAGTGCATCCCGTACTGCTGGAGGAAGTTCCTTTGGGCGTCAGAAGGGATATGGTTTTTATGCATGATGGGGCTCCCGCCCATTTTAGTCAAGTAGCACGTCAGCATTTAACTGAAACATATGCAAATCAGTGGATAGGTCGAGGAGGACCACAGAATTGGCCCGCTCGATCCCCGGATCTCAATCCTCTGGATTTGTCTACTTGGGGCCATTTGCAGCATTTGGTTTATCGTACTCCTGTTCGCGATGTAGAGGACTTAAGAAACCGCATTATCGATGCGTGCAGGGTAATTAGAGAGACTCCAGGAATATTTGAGCGAATACGTGGCTCAATGCGCCGACGTCTAGACGCATGCGTAATGTCTGAAGGTAGACATATTGAACATTTACTATGATTTCTACATGTTGTATGTTTTGTTATTATTAAATTAGTTTTGATTATTCCCCTTTAATCATTTAATGCAGGTAGTAACTACAAAATAACAGTAAATCCAGTCCGCATTTATGACGATGTATCTCTGTAGTTGTTCGTAAAATAATTTTTTACTGCGAACTGGTTTAATTTGGGCAAAAAATTCAAGAGACATTTTTTTTTAGAATGAAACAGGCTATCGGAAATAATTTTTTAAATGGTAAAAAAATAATAAGACAAAAAATTACGTTGGAAATAAATTTTAGGGGTTGCGTTTTCCACCCCTTACTACCATGGGGTAAACCAAATAAATTACTGGCTAAGTGTCTTTTTGGTAGTAGAAAATGTCAGGTTAATTTCAATATTGTAACTTGTTTAGTGCTTGTGAAAAAAATTGTTAAACAAATTTTATGTACCCCCTTTAAGGGGCTGTATCTTAACAAGGGATGCTCCAATGAAGTTTCTTTATATGAAAGATCCTATCTTTTTTTCGATGAGGAATCACCCCCTTAAATGTTTTACACTTATTTAGTTACACCCTGTATAAACATTTCTTTCAGTTGACTTATACGTGATGTTTGATGGCGAACTTTCACGAGTCGAATTAGATCATAAAACCTGAAGTCTTGAAAAAAATTATTAGACATTTTATTGCACTTTATGACGGGGAAGGTAGAATAATAATATCAAAAAATTAACTCCAAAGAAGTGGCGCTAAGTTGGCAAATTGCAAATAAATAAGTGGCAACCCAACTAGCAATTTGGTATTTTATAAAAGCTGCAAAAACATTTTCGAGACAAATCTTATAAAACGGCTAAATCAAAAATATTTTAAGAATATTTATACAGCAACTATACAACCAAAATGGACACAGTATTATAAAGCACTTTAGTCACCATTGAGGTTTGTAATGCCCGTTGGAAACAATTAAAAAATAGACATATAAACGTTTATACAGGTCTTATAAAAATATGCCAATACCTTCATAAAATAGTTTTTTAAAGGTTTTATAACCAGGTCATAAAGCAGATTATATTATCAGTTATACACCGTGTCCACCTTATGCGCGTCCAATATCTAGGTTAATAATATATATAACTTAATTTTTTTTCTACAGAGTTGCCTACCTTCCCGAGCTGCACAAAATGAAAATATATTTGCATTACAGGGTGTTCAGTTTTTCCTGGGCGGGTACCAACTTAATTTTTTTATATGGAAACCTATTTTTTTATGGCATTATCGAATTCTACGTGAAAAATTAACGGGACATTGTGTTATGATCCCTATTAAAATATTGATAGTTTTCGAGATAATCGACTTTTCATTTTTTTTTCTTATGTTTCGTCACTTTTAGTAGTTGACATAATTATGATTGTATGAAAGCTAGAAATTATTTTTTTCAGGAACTGTAGAGTGAAGATGGCTCTTTCAAAAAACGTTATCAAAATTTGACCTGTGATATACAGGGGGCAAAAAAAATCGTGCCAAACCTGATAATTTAAAATTTGAAAAATCTCGACTTTGTCAAATAGAACACCCTGTGTTTTATGATTTCATAAGATGTTTTTCTGTAGACCTTACAATTTTTTAATAGCTTTCCCAATACCTAAGTTGCGTAGTTTTTGCAAAAAAAAAACATTTTTTGTCGGGAAAAATATTGTAAGGGTATTCATTTTAACTTAGCTTGCGACTATGAGTATTCTTTTTTCAAAATTCTATTCATCCAAATTTTTCACTCTCCAATTTCACTAATAACTTTCCTAACTACGGTAACAGTGCTTGATTTTCAATATGATACGGATGAAACTTCTTCTTCGATATTTTATTTGTCAAGCTTTTGAAAACTCCAAGGTTCTACTAATTTCCTGGCACTAATATTTGGAATTTCAACAGCAGACGCCACAACTTTAAACTAAATATTATCGTTGTTACTTTCATGTCTCCTGGTAGTTTTCTCATAATTCGCATTTGCTGTTCACATTTTCAAAACAGTAGGAATCTCTGTAAATATGGATTATTTACGGAATGCGTGCTGCTAGTAAACATATCCCATATTTTGCTAATTCTTAATCACTTAATCACTGGTAACGATTTTATGGTTTTTTGATTTTATTTACAAATAAATGTTCACTATCCATAAAGACTTATTTATTAAACTCAAATATCTAAATTTTTGAGTTATTAATTTTTATTTTAAATATTGTAGCTAGACAACTAATAAATTTAATAAAAATAAATACCCTTATAACTTACAATATTTTTCCCGACAAAGGAACGGGCGCAAATTTATTTTTACGGTATTTTACATTTTTTGCAAAAACTACGCAACTTAGGTATAGGGAAAGCTATTAAAAAATTGTAGGGTCTACAGAAATGCATCTAATGGAATCATAAAACACAAGGTGTTCTATTTGAAAAAGTCAAGATTTTTCAAATTTTAAATTATCAGGTTTGGCACGATTTTTTTTTGCCCCCTGTATATCGCAGGTCAACTTTTGATACGTTTTTTGATAGAGCCATCTTCACTCTACAGTTCCTGAAAAAATAATTTCTAGCTGTCATACAATCATAATTATGTCAACTACTAGAAGTGACGAAACATAAGAAAAAAAAATGAAAAGTCGATTATCTCGAAAACTGTCAATATTTTAATAGGGATCATAACACAAAGTCCCGTTAATTTTTCACGTAGAATTCGATAATGTCATAAAAAATATATATTTCCATTTAAAAAAATTAAGTTGGTACCTGCCTAGGAAAAACTGTATACTACCCACAAATAAGAAGTGGATCTTATTTGTGGAAGGGCGAAATGGGCGGTAACTATTAGACGCCTTCATTATAGCCATCTTTCTCTATCGTACGGATTTCTATGACTTTCTTTATCGCTCCACGTAACGGCCGATGAACCATGGGGACTTTCCGACCCTGTATAATAGCATAGCAACAAATCATCTATAAACAACAATTTTATAAGGGCTCTACTTTGGTATCTTTAGTAACAATAATACGACATTTTTGTAGCATAAGATCTATCAACAAAGGTAAATTATTTACATTACTAAAAAAATATTATAAAATACTTTAGTTTCAATAGATAAAATGTTTTATAGGCTTGTCACAGAAATGTTTATAAAATAAAATTTGCCATATAAGCTGTTTTATAATTTAGCTGCCAAAACGTTCTTGTAAT